TTCTTATAGATATATTTGGCTTTATTGATCTCGCGTTAGCATATCGACGGTGAAACTACCAAACCACGTATCTCGTTTGCGGTGTTTAAAAATCTACGCTCGCATTTTATTTTTTTGAAGTCGATCAAATCAATATCATTCCTTGAAATTTTCTTTAAAACTTTCTCCGCACAAAGAGGAAAAATCACAGACATTTTCAAGACTAGACGTTAAGTAGTTTTTCATTAAAGAAATAAAGTATGACAGGAAGTCTGCGACGTCGCAAACCGAGATACGTGGTTTGGTAGTTTCACCGTCGATATATACTATTAAGCTCAATCTAGAGCTTTTTTTTAATTTGTTTGTAAATAATGAAATTTAAGTATGCTTTGAGTTGTGTTTGGACAAAATTGTTGCACAAGGTTGCAGCTCCGGCGCCAAGAGTTTAACTGGCTCATAAAAAAAAAAAAAAAAAAAAAATTCAACATAAAAGAAAGGGCGCCGAATACTTTTTTATTGCTGACGAATTGGACCAAAAACGTGCAATTCATTGCCGATCATTCCAACGGCTACATGTTGTGAGAATCATTTCGTTTCTTGTTCAATCGAAAAATATGCGGATTAGCTGATAAGGAAGGAACAAACAATCACTTAAATAATAGTGTGACATGAGTCTACAAATATGTTTGGCTCTTGAATGGGAGTGGGGATGAGAGCTGAGACAACTTTTTTCTTTTTCACAAGATATTTTAGCTTTGCTAACACTGTTCCTTCTCTATCTCTCTATCTCTATCTATAAATCTCAAATCTACCCTAGATGAGGTCGCCTGATGCCTCACACAGGATCGATAATAATATCGATTATTTAACATACCCCTGAATGGGTACAGCGTCAATCCTAATGTTGAAAACTGTCAAGAATCACTTCAGAACGCGACGTTGGTGATAACGCCTTGATACAACTATTAGTCCTTAAAAGATGACTGCGTTGCATACTCGAATAGATGAAGGCGCTTCTGTATTTTCTCAATTCAACAAGAAAAACCGGTGATCATTGGGGAGGCGTTAATGATCGATTATCAATATTTCACAATTATTCTAGCTGGAGCGCAATTAAGCTATGCATTCACGACTGCAAAAATGTGAACAAAAATCGAAAAGGTCAGCGTGCATGAAGGCTAATTCCATTTTAATCTTCCGTCACATTCTTACGGCGCAATGATACAACTATTTGAACTCTCCGGAATGCGTGAGGTATCACGCCGCATTTGAAGGCGTTTTCAAAACAGCCAAGTTCCGATACCCGGATTATCGTTTTGCATAGTTCATATTATTTTGGTTTCCTTTCTAACCACTTGTTTATTCTTAATCCTCGTATAAAAACCATACATTTGCGAAATACAATTCTATCTGGAGCACCCTTTAGCCTATGCATTGATGACTGCAAAAATGTGAACGTAAATCGAAAAGGCCAGCGTGCATGAAGACTATTTCAATTGTAATCTTCCGCCACATTCCTACGGCGCAATGATAAACTATTTGAACTCTCCGGAATGCGTGAGGTATCACGCCGCATTTGAAGGCGTTTTCAAAAACAGCCAAGTTCCGATACCCGGATTCTCGTTTTGCATAGTTCATATTATTTTGTTTTCATTTCTAAGCACTTGAGTTTTCTTAGTCAAGCACCCATTTGCTAAATACAATTCTAGCTAGAGCGCAATTCAGCTTTGCAATCACAACTGCAAACATGTCAAAGGAAATCGAAAAGGCCAGCGTGCATGAAGACTATTTCAATTGTAATCTTCCGTCACATTCTTACGGCGCAATGATACAACTATTTGAACTCTCCGGAATGCGTGAGGTATCACGCCGCATTTGAAGGCGTTTTCAAAACAGCCAATTTCCGATACCCGGATTCTCGTTTTGCATAGTGCATATTATTTTGTTTTCATCTCTAACCACACAGCCAACAGCCAATTTCCGATACCCGGATCATCGTTGCATAGTTCATATTATTTTGTTATATTCTGTACCACTTGTTTATTCTAAATCCTCGTATGAAAACCACCCAATGCTAAATACAATTCTAGCTGAAGCGCACTTAAGCTATGCATTGATGACTGCAAAAATGTGAACGGAAATCGAAAAGGCCAGGAAACGGAAATGGACCGGTGGTTATAGGTTTTGGCTTTCAAAGCTAAATTTTCATGACTTTAACGAGTTTCTAAACGCAAATAAATCATAATTTCGATCGTGAACGTGCTGGTGGATCATTTTCGGTCATCGCTAATAAAAAAGACAGCAAAACACGCGAAAAAATCGAAAAATTAAAACCCACAGGAGACCAATTAAAATTGAATTATTAATACATACAGAATTTCACGTGTCACCGGTAATACGCGTAGACAATCACTGCAACCCGATGATATTGCATTGACTAGTAGAATCAGTGCGATGCTTCTGTAATGAGGGATCCTTACTTTTATCAGTACCCATCACCTGCCTGCCTGCGCCCTGCGCGCTATCTCCTCAACGTCGCGTCGCGGCGACCGTACCCAGGGGCGAAAACATGAAATACGCCTGACTTAGCCTCACAAAACTTGGTCTCTTAGCTCCAAAAATTGATCAATTAAGCTGAAACTCGGGACATTGGTACATTAGGATGCGAGGAATCCGTTTCTGCCATTTCCGGAAAAAGGGCACATGCGCGTATGTGCCCCTTTTCCGGAATGCTCCTCAATTTGAAGCTGTGGAAAAGAGTTAATTATTGAGTTGTTCGTTGCGAACATCATGTTTATCCATCCTTTGCCGTAGGTTTAAAAGGCCGATCAATCGATATGAAGCAAAACACGCTTTGCTACTGCCTGTGACGAATCTTGCAAGTTGGAAACATTTTCAAACAAAGTTATAAGTAATGTTTAACCACCATCTTAACATAATCGTAATGTGAAAAGTATTCGCTTACGTTTATTACGAATTTATTGAGTTGAGTTGGTGGATTTTACTTCCTTACTTCCTCACTTCCCTTGCGGGTTGAGGAAGTACTGGCATCTTTAAAAAAATAATCAATTGAAATTTCATCATTTCTGGGCGCTTAATTGGTTAATTGGCACAGCAAGACAAATGAATATTTTTTAATCTAAAGAATCAAGCACGGCCATGAAAATGTGAGAACGTGGAATGAATCACTCATATCCAAAAATATCGAGAGAAATTGTGGATTTTTTTTTAAATTCAAATGGCGGATCACTGACATCGACAAATTTAAGAGGTGATCATGATTTGGGGGCTGCTTTAGGGGGGGAGGGGGGGCTGGGGGATTTTCTCCAGAAAGAGAGGAGGGCCTCGGAGTCCATTCCTGGAAAATTTTCGAAAATTAGTTACGAACTTAATTTTCGGTTCCACGATAAAGTATCAACGTTTTCTCCTATTGCTATACTGGGGTTACAAGGGGATGAAATCTCGGTATCATCCTCGGATGAGCTCCTTTCAGAAAGGAGACATTTTATTTTCCCTGTCAATCACTCGAGAAGAGTCACGAGACATTTCGCATACATTTCTTCCAACACCTAATTAAACATCAGCCATCATTTTTTGAGTTATCATAGCAAAGTAGGCTGAAAGTGGTAGCGGCAACATTGTTATTCCTCCCTTTAAATGTATGTAAAACAATCGATTCTTGGCGAGACAGCTTGTTCCACCTTGGATCGATATTTTGCATGGATTTCAATGGAGGAAAAACATTGTTACCAACTTTCAAGAATCGCCACTGGCTGGACGAATTGGGAGTTGTCACGTCATAAAATGGTTTACTTTCCTACACTGGCATTTAAGTCTCCGAGCTTTTTTCACCATGGTTATGGTGGTCAACTTCAGCGGGATTGTGGGAATTTTGTGGTTATCATAATTTAGCAGATTAAAATAAAAATGGAGTATTGTGATTGGTCAGCTTTATCAGTCGTCATTTTTGACGTCGTGCTTATGTCGGGCGGTGTTGACAAATTATCAGCAACTCAACTCTTATAGGAGGCCATGGCTTCTTAGTTACCCTATAGCCAGTCCGCCTCTACTTCTAACGTATAGACGCTATTAGTGGCGACGTCATCATAAGGATTCTGTATTATATCGAATTGGATCCAAACAATAACATTGGCATGGCACCTTTCAATGCTACCAATGCGAAAAAATCGATATATATCGTTTTCCTGTGACGCACTGGAAAAAGAAACACATTGGATCCAGAGTCCAGACTCTTGAAAACATTGACAAGAAAAAGGACTCTTAATTCAACCAGATTTAAGCTTAAATCAAGAACCAAGCCTCTTAATTTGAGCGGATTTCCTTTTGATTTAAGCTTAAATCTGATTGAATCAAGAGTATTTCTTCTTGTCAATGTTTTCAAGAGTCTGCACTGAAGATCCAATGTGTTTTTTTTTTTCCAATGCGTGGCACAAATTGTATAGCGTATATATATGGCTGGTTCAGCAGCCTGATGTACTCTCATTGCAACCAGCTATCTTGTTAGCTGAATTATCAAGCACATACTGGAATCACAATTATTTTATCGCTATTGTTTACGTTTTCTAAATTTTGCACCGGCCCCAAAACTATAAGAAGTCCACACCTTTGACAAAATAATAAACCAAGGAGGTGTGAAGAGGTCCAGGGTGTCAAGCACCGCCGCGGTTCAAGCGGGCAGCAGGTAGGTCAATGTTCATTTAATTAGAGGCACACGTGAGATGAGAAGGTTAATCATTCCTTGACCCAGTGACACCTCGCATAAGCTCGTTCTTATGTGGAGTCACATCTCATCTTCGACGGGAGTCAAAATGAATTCCCGGCCGCGGCAGAGTGGGATTCGGGGTTCCCCTCTGTATTCCGACACTCCTCCTTATTTGTAAGCTCCGCCTCGCAAGGAGTCTCACCAATTAAGAGTTCCACATCCCCCTCCTCGACGCCCGGATCCCTTCCGCCGCCGTCCGCCAGAGAGCGCTCGGGTCGCGGCTCGGGCTCGCCGGGTTTTTGCGCAGGTTTCTCTTGCATCCTTGTTCATCTTGCGCGTACGGTGCGCGGCTAAATATAGAAAATAATATTTACATGCTTGATATCCATCCATGCACGTTCGATAAATGTTATTAATTTTTTCTCGCGTTTGGCTCGTTTGAAATTTTGAAAAAGTGAGTTCATCGTCGCTATTATCCACGGCTTCGACACCTACGTTTCGGCGGTTTTCGAAAGTTGGAGTTGTGACGATCGAGAAGTTCTGATTTTCTATAACTTTCGTAAATTTTTGGTCGGCACCAATTTTGGTTTGTGTCTGTGATATAGTTAATTTTACTAACTACCGAACGCGGTTTTTTAGTACGTATATATTTATTGTGATTCGAAGATTTTTGATCGTACGAGCGGCGGGTTGAACATTAACCGGCGGTTTACATCGATTTGATAAGAGTGTTTCGGTTTGTTTGTTTGTTTGTTTTTTGAAGGTTGTGCTTCCGCCTTTCGCGATTGACATCTGTGTGGCTTTGAAGTTCAAAACTGTACTGATCACCTGCAAAAATACCGGGCTCGACAAATATCACCAAGGAGTTAATTCCGTGCTGAATTGTGATTATTCGTTGACATGCGGCCTTCGTGCAAGTTTGAGGTAAGATTTTTGGAGTCCACAAGTAGTGTTTTGAAATTTTTAATTTCCCACGTTGCATGTGATGAAATTCCTCGGAGATTCTATACTTCAACTTCGTACCTTTTTCTCACTTCATTCAATAATAGGTACTGAGTGAATCAAACTCATAAGTTGAACACATAGTGTCATTCGGGTAAAAATTTATAGATTTTGAAGTTAGGTTTGTATGGACTATGGTTATACATTGACGGCAATGCTACATTCAAACTCTCAATCCGTCGGATTGCATATTTAAGCAGTTGGGCTATCTAAACCGAATTTCGTTGATACTGAGGGATTTTCAAGTATTTACCTTTTAATCTATTCTTTTCGTGAATTTGTCACATTAAAAATAATGTGATATCGTAAGTATACAAAACTTTAATGGCGTTGAGGATTATGCGACATGGAAATAGATACTTGACCTTCAATTTTTTTTGTACGTACAATCAAATATATGTAACAGATAAAAACTTTCTACACCTGCATGCAGAGAGCTGTATGGATTACTCACAGAAGAGACGCCAATAAAAGGAATCCTATAATATTTTTATGGAGCAAAAAATGAAGTCATAGTAAATGGAGTCATTTTTATGGAACAATGTCTGAAGTCCATGCGGATAGTATAAATATGCTATATACATGCATGTCATATTAATCAGTATTGTTTTATAGAAATTCTTTTAGCTCTTCAATGTTTATTAAGTATACCTTTTAGTTTCCTACAGTACCAAAATGAGGATTTCTACAACAACATTCATTATCAAAACTAGCTTTTACAAACCATTGAAGCTGCAATATTAAAATGAGGCATTGGGGTATAGTCTTTAACTATACTTTAGAACACCCACATTAAAAATGGACATTTTATGTTAGGTATTGGCAACTCACAATAAAACAAGGTGGTAAATAAAAACAATAAAACTTTACCTCTGCAGCTAATTTTCCTTTAATAGGCCAAAAAAAGTTAAATGAATAGAAAAAAAGAAATAAAAAGAAGAAACAAAAGTCATCAATCTGTGGAACGGTACCATTTTTAATTAGTGTCTTTCTGTTTATTTTTTTTTTTGTCTCCACTTGGAACGATGATGATTATTACTTGCATGCCAGAGGTAATATTTACTGTGAAATGAGTAACATATTTCGCGCAAAAAATCAACTTTGAGGGTCACTTACCGAATAATTATCACTTCTAATACAAGATATGGTCTTCTTTCCTTTTCTTCATGTTTTAAAAAACACTTACCCGAATAATTTTAAAATAATGATTGAACCTCAATTTAACTGAATTTTTTATGACTCTCTTAAGAATAAGAATAAAAGGAGAATTTTATTTAGAATTTGTGCCATTAGGCTATTAGAATTTATGCAATTTTGGTTTATTCGGCATCAGAGAGAATTTGTACTTTTTACAAGGCACACTTGGGTAGGGGCCATTACAAACGATAAAGTAAAGTTATATTGTTTTTTTTAAAAAAAGAATGCGCTTCAATGGGTGTGAACAATTACACGGAAGCGCATGAAACAAGCAAGCTTTAGATTCAAATGTTAAGGCGAAAAAATGCACCCTGCAGGATGTTTCACTCTATATCATTAACAATTAAATAATTTAAAATGTCACTCATTTTACCTGTGATATCTCTCAATAATTTTTTGTGAAGATGCAAGTATTTCTTTACACTTAATGACAGCAAACTTCCGATTATCGAATGTTCAAAAAGTATTAGTCCGCATGAATAAACAGAGTGGAAATAAAATTGGAAATAAGAGATAATGTTGCACTTCAGTTCCCTGAGCTATGCTATGAATATTTTTTTTCTTCTTCAACGGACAGTTTTGATGACCTATGACATCTGATATATTAATACTGATTACAATAATTATACAAATATTATCTCACTTATGGCTGTTTCTGATGGTAAATCTTGGTAAGTCTAAAATAAAAATAATATTTTCCAAAGAGATTCTTGTGATTCGAAAAATACAAATTGCATGAAAAAAATTCCCCTACAGAGCTTGAATGCTATCAAAGACACGAATGAAACTATGAACATCATGGGGTTATTTTTAAAAATTCGATTATTTTTTATAAGAAATTTATATTTACCTATAAAGTGTACCTACTTAGGTAATTTAGTTCAGTCATTTAACAGATTATTTATACTTCGATCACTTTGAAAAGCAGTCACTAGCTTACAAAACCGTTGTCTATTAATCATTCCTATAAACTTTTGAGTCAATTTTTAAAGGCTTGTTTATTTGTATTTCACAAAATGGTTTGGTCTCGAAATTCATTTTGTTTATACAGTTTAGACTGAAATTAATCTGCCTTTAAAATTAATATTACTTGCTCAAAATTTGCTTGGCCATCAATTTGAGTAACCGTAGACTCAGCTATGAATAAATTACAGCACAGTTTTTGAAAAAAATTGTGAAACAAGATGAAATCAATTACCAGTACATTCATAATGTCATTACAATCAGCCAAGGGCTTGGTTCCTTTTCAATGGCTTTTATAAGTCGAATACACTCGATCAAAATAGGCATCATTCGAAACATACTTAACGTTTCCATAAAATAACTCAATATTCTGACTCTAAAAGATTGGACGCAGAAAAATTTACTCGAAAGAAGACTAAAAAAAATCGACCAGGACTAAATTAATATCGCAAATATGGGCATTACGTCGCAATGCCGCAAAAACACAGATTTTTTAATTATAGAAAAGTATTAAACGCCTGGATGTGAATGATTGAAAATATTGCTTCGAAAAATTGCATCCAAGAGCCAGAATGAGACGGGCTAAAGAAACGAAGATATTTTCGTAAATTACTAAAATTATACATGAATTTCTAAAATTTGTCACTAAAGTACCAATCACAAGCACGACTTAGTGGACGACTTTAGCTTGACTTCACCTAATATTTCAGGATCCAACCTGACATTTAAATTAGGGCAAACTTGGGGTTTATTTTGCTTATTTGAATTAATGCGAAACATTTTAAAGTTTCGTTGGTTTGAAAAGTTCTCCGCAATTTTTGACGAATTTCAACTTTGTTAATATCAAAGCATCAATAGAAATATTCTTCTTAAAGTAAGCAGGAGGGAATTTTCTGGGAAACTAGGGAAATCTATCTCGCTTCCTTCTCTATGTATTTTATAAACGACCCCTAAAGCATCCATCAACGGTTGTGAAAATTCCTCCAGCGCAAAGCTTAGACGCAGTATCTCGCAACTTATTTCGAGGCTGAGAATATTTCTACTCAAGGTGTTACTTGTACAGCAGCGGTGGAAATAGCAGTGTTGCTAAGCGCAGTGGGTCGGCACACACCTTCTGATATGCCACTAAACATGATTAATGTGAGGAAGCAAGCGGTCGGCTCCTTAGGTGAATCAGCTCACCATGTATACACAACAAGAAAATATTGATGAGCCGCGGAATACAATTAGTATTACGGAGATGAAGACTCACCCGGAAATACTCTTGATAGGGTTCAGCAAGAAGCACGGCCGAGCAATCCAAGTATAAGTTAAAAAATTTAAATCGTGCTTACTGAACGGTCAACAAAAGCGGCACGCAACATAACAGGGAAAAGAGAAGAGAGTGACACAACCCAAGATCGACTTTGTGGTCGGATGGGTCAGCATAAATTTTCCCCTTTGCAGCGATTCACGGGGATGCGTCGACGATTTGGAAACGGCGCGTAAGTCCACCGGAAGGAAAGTAATTCAACCGCGTATCTAGAAATTCCGGCCACAATCTTAATCATAATTAATTTGGGTCCCTCTTATCCTTATTCCGATGGACAGAATCATCCTCGGGAGATGAGACTCGAGATCGGATGGAAAGGAAATGGTCGTAAAAAGTCGCCCGTTGCAGCCGCATTTTTAAGCTTTGTACCTGCATTTAACCGATGTTTTCTCCTGAAACTGAGCGTCTTCGCACCGGAAAAGATGACAGAGTTGTTTCCGTTCCTTCTGTTGTGTCGAGCTGAAAATGGGGAGCTCGGAGTCTAGACCAGATGTCTCATTTCGCCTTCAATTTTTATGATACCTCAAGCACATTCATAAGGCACGAATAGTGGTGTCAATGCGCCGAGACAGTTCGAGAGCCTTGCTCTGTTGTTGTGTCTTAATTTTTCACATCCAAAGGTATTGTTACGCAAGTATTTCGGTTTGATAGTGTCGTGAAATTGAGACATACTAAGATAAAGGCTGTTTAAATGTCGGGGATGGTTGTCTCGATTTGATAGACAAAGGTCGTCCCTTGACGCTGCATGAAGTTGGAGTCAATACCAGATTTTTCATTTCGCCTTCAATTTTGACGATACTTTAAGCACGTCCATAAAGCACAAATAGTGGTATCAAAGAGCCGTATGAGTTCGAGCCTTGCTCTGCTGCTGTCTAGTGATATTGTACATCCAAGGGTATTTTTTCACGCTAGTATCTCAGTTTGAAAGTATAAGTCGTAAAATTTAGAAAAACTAAGATTGAGTTTGCCCAGATGTCGGGCATAGTTTTTCGTTTTGATGGAAAGAGGTCGTCACAAATTGCCGCTGTTTTTGCAAGCTTTAGAAATAATTTGTTTCAAACGTGTTTCCCAACTGCGAATGATGCAAAGTATGCTTTGAGATTTTAACGCGGTGTTCTGCAGAGTATTTAAAAATGATCATCATGAAAGACTGATGATTTTTCGTTTAGACCTCAAATTGATCTTCTAGCACTGAGCAACTTTATATAGTCTCTAACATAAGTCCATTTTACCTGACACAGATAAAATCACAAATATCTTTAGTTCCATATTCATCGTACATATACATTTCATAAGTAATGCATTATTATCAAAACTCACAGACCATAGTCACGAACAAGAAAACAAGTTTATAAAATAACTTTTCAAGGATGACTTTTGCCTTCGCCTTTAATTTTTGCGAAGGAATAAGACTTTCTTTTACGAAAGAAAATCGACCAGTTTTACAAGCTTTTTCATTTTCATTATAATATTTCTTCACGTGTGCATATTTTTTTACGGATGCGATTCTTTGTTCTCATCTTGCCCTGTACGTATACTGAATAATTTTAATTTATATTTCAAAATAATTTTAATTTAAAACTTCTATACTTTTGTCGAGTTTGGAATGGCGACGGTTGAACGAGTAAAATCCACCGGCAGTAAAGTCATTCACATTTATGCGCTGGTTGTGTACTTATCCTCAAAGACTGTTGCTTGTTCAAGAAGAGGGGAATAACGTAAGTTGGGTCAGTTGGGGTGTATGTATAATTTTCCAGCAAGTTGTCCAAATAATTCATCACTTTATACAATTTATTATGATAATCTTGTGATTATTATTAATAATCGGCAATACAAGCCAACGACCGCCTAGGGGTTTATTGAAGATAATTTCACCCGTCTAGAAGTTTACACATCTAAAATATCGTGGACTAACCCTAACCCATTGCTCATTCCAGGTTGTAGAATCCCCAAATGGTTTAAAAACCTCAAATAACTTTTCTTTTCTTTTTTTTTTTGACCTCTCCTCAACCTTCTCAACCTCTATGAATTACGATTACATTTCTCCATATTAAAATGTGTAAATGTTGATTGAAAATTAATGTATTTTAATCGTTCTGTTTCAGATTCTCTCGGCATGAGTGCAGTTAAGTCGGCGCAATAGTTACGCTGTGCAGTTTAATACAACGATCGTTATCTAAATTCGGTTTTAGTCCATAATATTCGAGTCTATTTTTACGGTTCCAGTCTCAATGAAGTGTCTTTAGATCAAGTTCTCGGTTCCGAACCGAGTGCTCTTGTGAAAAATTTAATTGTGGACGTTGTGTCGCTCTTTCCATTGTGAATGACTTTCCGCGTTCCGATATTCCTCTCGCCCTGATGGGAGTTTATGAAGACAGCGCCCATCAAGAGACGGGCATGCATTGGGTAAGCCATTTTTCATATTCTAAATCACGCTTTATGCAGTTTTAAGAGTTTATACTCTAAAAGTTGGCACGGAATTCAAAAAAGGGCCCAACTTAAGGCTGATCTGGCCAATACATAAGAGAGTGTGTTACAAATATCCATTCAAGTGGCGAGGCGTGAATGATCAATAATCGATATTTCCCCATTAGAAACTAACGTAAAGAATCGATTATCAAGGTATTCGTCGCGAACACACTGTTTATCGATCCTTTTCAATAGGTTTATATGACAGATCAATCGCTATATCGCAAAGCACGCCACGTTATTGATCCTACCACTATAGGAATTGAAGTGTGTAAAAGGAGTTTGAACGTCCATATCCTCAAAATGATTTTTGACCGTTGAAATGAAATCAGCTTCTATCCTTAAAAATAAAATAAGAGGTGAAATTTTGAATTACTGTAATGAAGATACGTAGTTTCGCACGTCAGCCATCGATATGGGACCTCTTGCACCCTAGAAAACTAGTCCCGGCTCAAATATTTAACGCCAAAACATGGTTAGTCCCTCTCTGTTAGCATTGGCGGATCTAGCAAATTGGCAACACCGGGGTTCCTCTATTTGAACCTATGAAAATGTATCGATTCTTGGAGGGGCCAGGTGCTTCGACAAGAATCGATTGTTTAACATAGGTTTACATGGAGGAAATCCGGTGTTGCTAATTTGCTGAATCCGCTTTAAAGGTTAGTATCCTCCAGGCCACGGTTAGAAGTTTAAATGTGTAGCCAATATTTAATTTTCCCACTCATCCCCTGTTCCCCTGAAACTCTTGCAAAATACACATTCAAAGGAAGCTATTTCCCTCGCGAAATGGTTCAGCGCAAGCGCCATCTCTTCCTGGAGGGAACAGGAAATGAGAGTTCTATTACCGAGATGAGTTTAATCATTTTCCTCCCGAAATGGAAAAAATCGTTGCCACTTGGGTTCGAACCACCCACTCGTGCGATGAGGTTTCGATTTATGGACGAAGCGGCAATCTCGATCGGAGATCGATAGCCGAAACGTAATGAACTGCAGGTACCTCCCGTCCGACGGCCGTAAATCATATTTGCTGCCTTGTTGATTTTGCTACCTACAAACTTAAGAAACCGAGGAGTAGTGACGCACAGTGGAGCCGATTTTGAGGGAGAAGCCGATAATGAAATTTTTGACCAAAACTGGTAATTTTTATGTTCATTTTGGTCGTATTATGAATCTTAAGATATGTGACAGCGCACTGGAAAAAAAAACAAAAAAAAAAAAATACATTGGATCTAGAGTCCAGACTCTTGAAAACATTGACAAGAAATAATACTCTTGACTTAATCAGATTTTTGCTTAAATCAAAAGGAAATCCGCTCAAATTAAGGCGGTCAAATTAGGCTTAGTTCTTGATTTAAGCAAAAATCCGATTGAATCAAGAGTATTTTTTCTTGTCGATGTTTTTAAGAGTCTGGACTCTAGATCCAATGTGTTTTTCTTTCCAGTGCGTGCTGATTTTTGAAATTGATGATAGGAAAAGCGATAGACAACAGAAACGAAGGTAAAATGAGGTGATCATATTGGGTCTCTGGTGGGTTGTCGTCCGTTACCTTCGCAGCCCATCGCAGCCACCCGATTCTATCAATAGGATCCCTTCCTTTTCCCTTCATCTTCTTTTTCGATCATTATATCTATAAAAAAAAAAGTCGCTTGGATCCAGAGTCCAGAGTCTTAATGCTATTGACAAGAAAAAATATTCTTGATTCAATCCGATTTTTCCTTGAATCGAAGAGCCGAGCCTCTTTAGGCGGATTTTCTTTTGATTCAAGCAAAAAGTCCGATTGAATCAATAGTTTTTTCTTGTTAATGTTTTTAAGAGTCTGGACTCTAGATCCAGGCGAATTTTTTTTTCCAGTGCAGGTCATTGATGGGAAATTTTACAAAAAAAAAAAGTAAAATAAAATAAAAAAATAAAGAGCAACTAAAAAATACAAGAAAATGAGCAATCAATGGTAAAACAAGGCTTTTGGGTGGTCTCAACCCCTCCTAGACCAGGAAATAAAAAAACATATAAAATTTTAAAAATCAAGAAACCTATATTTGTATAACGAAAAAGAAAAACATTTTTTTCGCGGAGTTTCTTGAGTTTTATAATATTTTACATTTTTTGCTTCCTGTTCGAGGAGGGGGTTGAAAGCACCCCGAAACGTCCCAGGCATTCTGTTCGTTCGTTTTTAGCCTAGGTTGCCCATTTTTCAGTGCTTTTTAATTAAATTATTCCGACTTTTTTGTATATGATTCTTATTTTGGAGCAACTTTAAAAATTTTACGTTTATATTGACGAAGATACAAGATTTTAGTGTATATACATAATGTCCGACCTCTTCCACTTACACTCCACTGTGTGACGTAGCCAGGTACCCAACCACCTCTCTCTCTCTTTCTCTCTGTACCTCTCTCAGACCAAGTTTTCCATCTTTCTCGAGGCAGCACCTTCAGGTGCCGGGAGAAAGAGCAGCAGACGAATTTCTCTACGTCACTGAATTTCCGAGTGCGTATGGATAAAAAATCATTATCGTTATTCGTTAACGACAACCATAAAATAGGTAAGCGAGCCGGGCAATAAATTTCAAATTTTATGACGCTAAGCAAACAGACTGCAAATTTTAATTGTTCGACAGTAAAGCGGAGGGCAGATCATTATTTTTAGATGCGAGAGTTGTGAGCAGAGCAGCGCCGCACAGTGGACCGGGTCAATCAGAGAGGTCGGACATGAAATTTTTGACTAAAACTGCAAATTTTTACGATTATTCCATCACATTTTGAACTATAAGGGGTGCTTCTTGAAGAGAAGTTCACGAGAAAACCAGTGGAACCATTTTTAAAGCTTCAAAGTTTTGTATAAGTGGAGTTATGAGCGTTTAAAGTTTCCAAATTTTGTCCGACTTCTCTTATTGACTCGATCCGGTGTGCGCCGGCCGGCTCCCGGCCCGATCGGACGCTAGCCGCCCGGCTCGGCGATCGGTCCCGTGGAAAAGGAGCAAAAAATTCAACTCCGATCGAATGTTCGGAAAGAGGAGGCCAAAGGCGAGGGCCAGGAAGTGAGGGCAATCATAGTGATGGACACTTGGACCGCATTTTGCAATTAGAAACTACAATACCTGCCTCATGCGTAAAAACACTTATGAGCATACTTCAACTGATAGGACTCACGTTGTTTCTAAACTGAGCCAGGAATCGTAGTTCCTAACTTCAAAATGCAGTTCAACGGTTCGTTCGAGAGGACAGTGAACGGTTGGGTTGAGCCGGAGGTCCGCTCTGCGAGCTGATCCTTGAAATCGATAGATAAAGTGATAGACAAAAGGAAAATAGAGCAATCCTGATTGGGTGAGTGGATGGTGGACAAAAAAGACGATGAGTGATAGACTAATTTACGGCAACCCACGAGAGACCTTTTAGTCAGTCCATCGTATTTTCTCCCTTATAGCTAGTCCTATAGCCCGATATTTGATGACAAACTTGGGACACAAGTTTTGACGACTTTAATCTAAACCGACACGGGAGTGCCAACACGTGACAGACAACCATTTTTCGTGTCAGTTTAGATTTGAGTGGTCAAAAATTGTGTCCCGAGTTGGTCAAAAAATTTCGTTGGGCTCTCGGACTATAATATTAGTCCATCATTTTCCCCCATGGTCCACAGCAACCATCCGTTTCAACCAATGGGGTTACTCCATTTTCCTGTCGTCTTCTTTGTCAATAGATTCGTTCATCAATCGTCGGGTTCTCGGACCATAGTACATCATTTTCCACCTAATAGGATTGCTCCATTTTCCCGTCGTCTTCGTGTCTATAGCCTTGTCTATCGATTTCAACAATCATCCCGCTGGGGCCGAATTCAGTTAGTCCTTCCACTGTACTTAAATGTACTTAGGACGAGTATCAACTGCACTTAAGTCCAGCTTCGCGCCTCTGATTGGCCAATGGTTCGGTTTGGACTCATCGATGGATGTTGCACCTCCATGTGAAAGAACCGACAAAATTTGGTCCCAGTCGCAGTTCGAAATTTGATCTTTCATCGAGACCTCAAAAGGCCTGGATACACGTTCAAATTTCCATCAATTTCCGATCAAATGATGAATGGTATGCACCGTCTATCATCAAATTTTTGCAGCCTACAGGTCTCGATAGACGATCAAATTCCCGAACCAATTACCATCAAAGTGTCGGGAGTCATCAGTCTTAAAATAATTAATTTGCTTAATTTTAAAATGAAAACTTGACAGAAATGTTTCCTGAAGCAGGAAATGATGAATGGTGGCGCTCCATTCTGATCTTACTTTGATCGAAATAGTGCGTCCCGTCGAAATTTGATAGTAGATGGTGACCATCAGTCATCAGCATGTCTACTTTGATCGGAATTGGTTCGGAATTTGATCGTCTATCCAAGGCTTACAAAAATTTGACGGCCATTTTTGTCATAATTTTGATCGGAAATTGACGGAAATTTGAGCGTGTATCCAGGCCTCAAGTCGAGACGGACGAGGCGAAGGAATCGATGAGCTGTCGGAATGGGAGTGATGACTGTTGCTCGGCGAAGTGCTGGCCGTTGAGACGCGAAGTCGGGCGATGTGACACGCTGCCAGGCCGGGCCGCGGACGGCGGACAGGAGGAACGCTGTAATGCAGCAATGGGAAGCTATATCAATTAGTGGTGCCGCGGTTGGCCTGATAATTGCTGTTTAATAGAAAGTAAATTGTACCTCTGTCACATCGTAAACCAACTCGTTGTCGCCTTATTCGGTCGCTCTTCGCCGATCACCGCCGGACTGCTCTTCGCTCCCCCTAACTTTGTAAGCTCATGAGTTCGCTCATCGATAAAAGGCTACTGGTATCACCGGTGTCGCTCCTGCTTGCGCATCCATGTCGCTGTGCTCTGCGATAGATCGATTGATTCGCCATGTAAACCCATGCAAAAGGATCGACTCTTTTCATATCTCT